TATAAGTATTTTTAACATTAACATTTTAAACAATTTCGTAACAGAAAACCCTAGTACTATATATAAACAAACGTATTTAAACCTTCTGAGAATTATAAATTTAAAGATTTTGGCTTGTGAACAAAGTAGTCTCATAGTTTGTGATGCAATCAAATAAAGTGTCTGAAACAGAGACTTTTCGTACAATCAGTCAAGTCAATTCGTCACACGGAAAAATAAATGAATCTAAATTTACGTTGCGAGAATTATCAAATAAATCTTAATCGCTATCCAGAATTATGATACTAGACTCCTAAAATAAATTTTCATATTTTTATTTAAATACGCGTGGCTAAAATCTCCATTGATAGAAAGTTAAGAAATATTAATGGATTTAGATAAAGATACAAAAAGTAATCACCCAAAATAATTAGGATTAATTAGGTTATACTCAGTTATCTGTTTGTTTCATAGTTGAATCATTTATATAGAGATTAGAGCAATATAGTGCAAATCTTCCGATATTTCTTTATAAAAATATTTCTGTCAATCCATTTGATAAGTTAACGAATGAGTGATCTATTAGATGGATAGTCCTAGATGCTGTAGGGCAAATAAAAAAATCCAATGAATGGAGTACCACAAAAAATACATAAACTGTTTCATAATGTTTGAGTTTATGTACCAGTGAAATTTTACTGAAACGAATTATCAAAAAATATCTTAAATGTACAGCATATATGTCTTCTATATGTAAACATAGATTCATCAATTTGCTGGAATCAGAAACGGAACTATAAACTGCACATCATTACTTAAAATTATCTTGACCGGAAAAATTAATTCAAGAATAAACTTTTCTGCTTATATATGTCTACTGCTAATTGATCTGCTAATTTTTGTAATAACTAATTTTCATTTCCACAACTTCTTTGAATTGAATGTTAGAAATTTGTGTTGGTATAGGTTCAATTCAATATTTTTATATAATAATGACCAAGAAGTTGATATATAAGCAGCTTTCTGAACCGATTAGAGCAATATGATAGGTGATGCTCTTATTCTTTCTTCACAACTCTTAATTAAAATTTAGAATATATTTTGTTGAAAAAATATTTGCTAAGAAAGATACTTCAACAGTTAGTGTTAATAAAATAAAGCACTCTTGATTTGAATGTAGAAATCATAGAGAATAGAACCGAATACAATATAACAGAAATCTGTGTTAATAAGTGAATTGAATCAATGCGACTATTGTAAATAATTTGTTCTAACAAATGATCGTAAACGATGCAAAAACTCACAGACTTCATATCTCCAATTGCGGACTTAGCAATATTAAATAAGACTAAACGATCTTAATTAAACAGAAGAGTCTCAGACTAGATTTGGGGTGAGTCTCGTTCCCAATATTAAAGGAAGTCAGAAGCTCCCGCTATAGTATTTTCTTTTAGGTCACGTAAGTCAGTAATTTTGTAGAGGTTTAAGTTTTTACACTTCAACATTCAGAGCTTAGTGCATAAGAAGGAAAAAATATAATATAGTTTAATATAGTTTGTCACTATGTTTTCTGATTGTTTAGCACTCAATTTCTTAGTATAAATAAAAAGAATTTATAGAATTTTTGTTTATTTTTCTCTCTTTCTTTGTTTTAAAAATATTAAATAAAATTGATTTAAAATGAGAAATTAAAAATTTATTGAGTATTTCTTTTTTGTTTATAGTTTTGTTATAAACTATACTTTTATGGTTAAGTTTGTTTGGTTTATGTTGAGTTTGTTTTCCCTTCGTTTTTGTTAAAACTTGCACCTATAATTGCCATATAGAATTTTTTTTAATAAGCAACATTTACTAAGTCAAAAATTACATAAATTTGCATAGATTTTGTGCGGATTTTGTACACGTTAACGAAAATAAATTCGAAAATAACTTAAGTACGATAGTGTAAACATGCTTCCAGACAATTGTACTTAACTCGACTTAATTGTGGCAATATGTGCCATTTCTAAATCAAACTATAAACATATAAAAATATGCTGAGGTTAGATAACTCCAAGCGTAAATATAAAATAAATATAAAACAATTTCATTACTTATTAGACCTTCTCTTATATATTAAAATAGGTACTATTTAGCAACAATAGTCTGTTGTTAATGATCTATTTATTAATGAATTTCTGATAACCATACCAATATATTTTGTATATTTTATATAAGATAAAATATATGATATAAGATAAAATAGAAGTTTTATAACTTACAACTTATAACTCGATAACGTTACATTCTTATTTACAACAAAATGTATTGTGACATACTATACAAGTATGAGAACCAATATGAAGATTAAAAGATTAAATATGTGTTTTATGAAATAATTTTTATAAAATAATTGTAATTTATTAAGAGTACATTTTAAACCCAATTTTTTTTTAAAACCCACATTTTTATAATAAAATAAAGCAAACATACTGAAAATAAACTTAAATATCGCAGTGTTCTATATGGAGAGTGCTTAGTGTAAAATTTTATTTTAAAAGCATGTAAATGTGAGTACCATGTGGAAAGCTCTAATGGAATGGAGCAAACTACTCTTTAAAACATTGAAATGTTTTAAATTGTCTTGTACTTCGCAGCACAAAAAGTTATCGTTTATAGTAGGTCAACATCAACTTTTAGTAATACTACATTCTGGCTTTAGGAATTAATTTTTTTTATATGTATTTAAAAAGTTTTAAGTAATATTATAATTGTTTTTCATATAAATATATTTATACGTATATGTTTGTCTAGGCATTATTTTTGAAATTCATTTTCTTATAATATTATGTTTTTCTTTAAACTTAACTTAAAATTCATTTCACTTGACTTTACTCGTTAACAATATAATTCAATCAAGATTATATATTTATTGTAAATTAACAAATATATATAAACAAATCAATTATATATGGTATATATTTTTTTTTATATATAATACTAAATGCTTTCACCACACGGATAGTTTCAAAAAAATTGTCATCTCTGACATTAGTTTTTGGTAACCCAATATTGTTCTTTCTAATAGAAATTAATACTGTGTGGTCTTTTATAACACAAAACTTCTAAGAATATTTGATTTTTTTTTATATTAACTTCATTTGATATAACAATGTGTTGAAAATTTCTTGGGTTAGTATTATTTTTGGCAATATATATTCAAATATATATTATATATAGGATATTATAGGATCAAGATGATACAATATGCAGTACCAATATATTTCTCTTCACCTCTAATATATAGCCTTTCCTTATTCGGTCTGGACTCTATCTGCCCCGAACAAATTTGCCGTTTGGTAAATAGTAGATCAGTACTATTTATTAATTGCAAAAAATATATAATTCATTCAAAACTGAGGACTTAGGTCCCCTTTTATGAATTGAAGGTGTTTCTCTAAGTGCAATTACCTTAAACAATGCTTGTATTTCTAATACTAGATTAGATTAGATTTTGAACAGGTAGAGAACTATATCACTGCATCCTTTGAGGATTATTGTGATAAACCGACTTTAATTAAGTACACAATTTCCTAATATTGCACATCAATAATAATAGTACGAATTCGAACTTAAATATGCAATTTTCTAAAGCAGCAAATCTCTGCTTTCTAGCTCTATTTCAGCGTCGTTTCAAAAGTAATAAGTTTTCTAGTATTTCATTTCTTATAATACCGTTAGCTAATTTTTAGTATCCTATAACTTTTTTAAGATATTCATCATATTTTTAAATGTACTAAACTTTCTAATACTTTTTCTGTCATAAAATCCTCAAATAACTCCTAATTTCCTATAACTTTTTGAAGTTCTTTTAAATTTTTTTTTAATTTGCCAATATTTATTTTTAAATGTCTTTAGTCTTCTAATACTCTTTCTGTCATAAAATCTTCAAATAATTCCTAATTTCCTAATTTTTTTTAACTACCAATATTCATCATATTTTTAAATGTACTATACCTTCTAATATTTTTTCTGCTATAAAATCTTAAAATAACCTAATTTAACATAACTTCTTTAAGCTTTAATTTACCAATATTTATAAGTCTTATAAAAGTTTTTCTGTTATAAAATCCTTAACTAAATCTCAATTTCCTATAATTCAGAAAAAATTTTTTTTCTTTAGTCAATATTCAGCGTAGTTTCAAAGGTCTTACATCTTCTAATACTTCTTCTGTTGTGTCTGTGAAATCCTTAACTAACTCCTAATTTCCTTTACTTAATGAACCAAATTCTACCGTCTGTAGTGCACAGAAACTGACCATGGAATCTCAGTTATTATTGACGTTGCACAAGTTTTGCTTGCATGTGTCTATAATTCATTTTTGAAGATGTAGCTTACATATTCCCAAACAGGAACACTAGAAACGAGGACACGCTATATACTATAAGCTATACTCCATACACAAAAGGAAATTATTTCATGCTGTGTATCTGCGCTATCACACAAACATATCGAAGCTGCATAAACATAACTGCAACTACAACTTCTGCAATAGTTCAGTGCAGCAACAACAACAGCAGCAGCAGTAGCAACATCGACGACAGCAGCAAAAAACACTAGCAGTAGCAGCGGCAGCAGCGCTGGCAAAAACGGAATTGGGCGTTTAGCTAGTTTTGTTGGTGCCGGTTTTTGGCATATGGTAACGTTACTTAATACGGAGTTAGTTGCCTTGAATGCGGAATGTCACTGACATGATTATATACTCGTTTCATATTTTAAAAGAATAGCTGAAAAATAATTTACAGAAATTGGTTTTACGATAATAGATTATATCATGCAATCTAAAGCGTTTGCTATTGAAATGGTTGAAATGGCTTTCAAATGTGCTTTATAGTTTAAATTATTTCACTTAAATGGCAAAAATTTTTGAATAAGTATTTCCGTTAAATTTCGTTTTTTTTTATTTCATTTTTTTTTAATATTATATTAAATTTATTTATATTGCTTTATTAAATTTAATTTCTGTTTTCTTATTTTATAGCGAATGCTGCTCAATGATGCTATTGCCTTCGGGGCGTTCGAATAGTGATGTTCACCCACTGCAAAACACACCGAAGCCACAATTTTTGACAAGAACATCATCGCCTCAATTAACTTTAAATGCAATAAATAAAACGGAAAATGGTGGGTACACGCTATCAGCAACGCCAGTTAAAACAGCATCAGCCATAAACGCACCGGCAGCACAAACAACGGCAGCGTTGTCCACATCGCCCGGAAGTTACAACGAAACCGGAACTGCTGTTGACCATATTTTAACGTTTCCAAACTTCGTTGGCAATTCGGTGGCCAATAAAGCAGCAGTAGCAGTTTTGGGTAACGTAGGAAATTGGAAAGAAATCGATCGACACTTGGAAGCGATACAAAATAAACTTAAAGAAGGTTGGACCGTACATGTCGGAAAGGATGGACGTTTATATTATTGCAAGTAAGTTTCAAAATTTTCAAAATTCGACAAACAAAAGCGCATTGTTGTTGCTTATTGAGTGTTACATTTAATGACACATCTCAAATGAACAACTGTGATGTGATAGAGCATCTCCTTAATCACAGTCAATGCTATCAATGCTATCAGCACATAAAATTTAAAACTTCATGTAACACAAAATTTGTCAATACTCGTATATCGTATATCTGTCGTCGAGATTTTCCTCTAACAACTATGCAACTTTGTATATCGCACAGAAAATCAATTTTCAGCAGTTCTCAGTTTTGAGTTTCCTACAAGTGGCTTCACTTGCAGTTGCTTGATGCTTGAAGTGCATTGGCAGCACATAGTAGCAGCGTCTCTATTCTCCACCGGCCCACATAAACCAATTATGTAAAAGGGAAAATGTATAAAAAAGAAAAAAATGAAAATTATAATATAATTTTTCACTTTGCTGCACATAAAGTGAAAACGGCTTGAATTGAATTAATTACCACAATGACAGATTGTGTATTCAGCCTTAAAAGAATATTGCTCAACTCATTGAATACATCCAACCGACCATTATCATCTTAATTAATTGTTGCCAATTACAATTAGGCACAGATTACTGTTGCATAAGAAGCGGAAAGGCTGATTCGGTGTGACGTACGAAATTTTTAAATCCATTTTTAAAATTACATAGTCTTCTGGTGAGGTTTAGTGCTGTAAATTTAATAGGACTTGCACAAAAATTAGCTTGACAAATATTTTTTGCGGTTCACGATTTTTAGATAAACGTAGTACAATTAAAAAAATTAACAATTTAATTATTATTAAACACAACATTAAGATTGGTATAAATAGTTTAATCTAGAAAGCTAAATTCAAACATTTTATACATTATTTTACTAGTATTACTTTGAGACGTATGTCTGAATTAATTTAGCTCTGTAGAGAATTATGCATACGGATTATAAGAAAAAATCTATCAAATCAAAAGCAAATATTGTTATTTTTGAAAATATCACCTTGTCTTATGATTTTATTATACATTAAATGAGAAACTGTGCTCTGTAATTAATTGAAAATTATAAGAAAAAATCTATAACTCAGATTTAATCAAGAGCAAATTTTTTCATTTTAAAAATAATGTCTTATGACTTTATTATAAATATAATTTGAAACTGGGTACGGTAATCAATTAAGATTTATAGGAAAAAAACCTATGACTCAGGTTGAATTAAGAGCAAATTTTTTTATTTTTGAAAGTAATATCTCAATATTTAAATTAAAATACAAAAAAATATTAGTTTTGAAACTGCAATAAACTTTATCTCCTTTCAGGCATCTTCATGTTTATCTCTTGCACGATCATTTTATCTCTCTATTTTACTATGCCTCTTTTTCAATTTTTCTGTTTTCCTCTGTTTTCATCTCTCTTTATCTCTATCTCAGTCTTTCTATCTTACCTCCTGTCTTCTCTTTTTTTTTAATCTCTCTTCTTTTTTTCTCTCCCTTTTTTCTTTTATTGTCATTTTCTCTCCCTTTCTCTCTTTTTCACTGTTTTTCTTTGTTTCTGTTTTACTCTTCATCTATCTCTTTCCTTTTTCCTCTCTCTCTCTTTCTCTCTTCCTCTTTCGCTCTTCCTCTCTTCTTCTTTATCTCTTCTTCTTTCACTCTTCCTCTTTCTTTCTTCCTCTTTTTTTCTTCCTCTTTCTCTTTTCCTGTTTCTCTCTTCCTCTTTCTCTCTTCCTCTTTATTCCTTCCTCTTTCTCTCTTCCTGTTTCTATCACTCTATTTTCTCTTTCTCTCTGTTTCTCCTTCTCTTTTTCTCTCTCTCTCTCTGATTTTTCTTATTTTTCCTTCTCGTCCTCCCTATATTTTGTTATTTCCGTCATGTGCCTTGCATATCGGTCCTTCTGTGTTGCTCTATTAGCTGCTAATCATTGTTTCTTCCAGTCTTCCAAACTCTTTTCATTGAGGTTGCTGCCAGTTGTTTTTATTTTTTATGCTCTTTTATGAGCATAACTTATCTCAGAATGTAATTCGCGTATCATCTAATAATATGATCATACTACCTTAGTTTGATTGCTTATAGCTTTTCAGTGATTGCTTTAACTATTAAAAAATCTTTTAAGAAATGCTTAAATAAATGCATTTCCATTTTCGTCCATTCATATGTTGCCTGATGGTTAGCGTAGTATTTGCATATCGGTTACATACATATATATCCATTACATACACACCAGACGTTGTAACAGATCTCATGTTTTTTTTACTGTAGATATGTAGACATTTTTCCAATTGTTAGTTATTTTGGCTTTCAAATTTATTTTTAAAATCATAGTATTCATAATAATTGATCATTTGTGGCACTTATTTCCTATTCAGCTTCTAATCTCATCTAAATTTATGTATAAGAACATTTATATTGTGTTTCAGATTTTATCAGTTCAAAAAAAGAACATCAAGCTACCATTAAACCGTGCTACTATAACCATAAAAATTATAATAAACCCTTAATAAAAGTGTGTAAAAATACAATACATAAAGAATATAATAATCTCTTTATCGAGATAATTTCGAGATTATACAAATTCAACCGTAACTATTGTTTAATTAGTACACGAGTTCCAGATTAATAGGAGTAAATCATATCATTATCTTCCTTCCAAAAATGATGGACATATCCTTTCTGACGATTACACAGTCTTTGCCTCCTTCTTTGTTCGTTGGTTTGATTTTTCTTTTGTGTAAGGTATGTGATATAGGGTCGGTTTTTCACCATCATAATGTGTTAGTGTAGAAATTGAAAGACAACGATTTAGCAATTTATAGCTTACCTAAAAAATTGTGATCATAACCGTATCCAACACAGTGTAGGCAGATGTCAATTGTTTTAGACAACGATTAATGTAGAACTGAAGAATCGATATAGAAATCACACACACAATCACAATTATCAGCCTCAGTGAGATAATGCGGCCCCCATTCTGTTGAATGTGTGTAACTTCATAATACACATTTGTTTGTGCAAAATTGAAATATCTTTCGGTTTGCATCATTCTCCAAAAAGTATAAACATTTGACGGTTAATAAATGAAAGATGTTACCTGTCAGAAACTTCTGTGACATTATAATATCAAACCAAAAATAAATAATTGGCATAATTATTCCTTATGTTTAAAAAGAACGGGTAATAACGCATATAAAATTAATGTTGTTAATTAATGTTAAAACACATTTTTAAAAAATTATTCTAACTAAAATATTTCCAATAGATCTATGGTTTTGATATAACTAAAAAGAAAATGAAATTTTGATGTACTCCTAATTAACGAATCTCATATCAGATTGCGTAAAGGTGATGTAACTGTGTTATCGATATACCAAAAAATAATTTTTAAATCCCAAACCTTTAATTGTATAGTTATGCAGATTAATTCCCGCGATACCCGCGTTACCATATATAATTGGATATAACCTATATAAATTTAGGTATATTCTGACAGAAATATCATCATTCGATCAATTTTGCGATGCTGAAGGTCTACTAGTTGCACTATTGATTCTTTCTCAATTCCACTTTTCAATAAACTTGGATAATTATCAAATAAAAAGTTATTTGAGAAAAAAAAATTACGGAAAATAATAATAAAATATATTTCATAAATATATATAATATACACATATATAAGATTATGAGTTAAAAAACTTTAAATATCTAACTACGTGATTCATAAGAAATAATTCATTTTAATGTTTAACACGATTTCTTTTTATTTTTTTCAAAACAGATTTAAGATTAATATTTATGACAAAGTGGTTCTACAAATCAGATGAAATTTTATTTAACTTCGTCATTAGATTCATTAAATTCTTTAAAGATGGTCACAATATTTAACATGCACATGTTTCTTCACAGCTTCTTGTTGAGAGATGGATTATATATTTCAATGGATCTCCAAAGGAAAAATTTCTGATATGGGATGTGTATTTAAGATATGTTGAATTCAGACTGTAGGGTCATAGTTCCTCTTTAGGATACACATCCTCTCAAAGATACTTCCCTAGCATTTATCTGATTTTAAATGAATAGTTGGTTTCAGTTTCAGTTGGGGCAAAAATTCCTCTTCTGTCCAAGTAACGCATAAGCACCCTTTTTAATACCACACACATGATTATGAAAATAAAAGTTTTGAAATCAATATGCGGGGTTGACAAAGGAAATTATTTTCTGAAAATCGATGTTTGAGATGTTCCTCAGGCTCATTAGTTCGTAGACTTCTATAATGGAATGGGTTAATCTTGATTGGCCAAAATATGTAAAAAAAATGTTCAGTTGTTGCTTTTTCTTCTTCCACCTTATAATTTCTGTATTTTTGGTTGAAATAGATACCCAATGAAAGGCCTATCAGCATTGCCACGAATTTTCACAATTCGATCTTGGCTCTGCCAAATAGAATTTTCTTTCTCGTCACTCTTTTAATAAGATCCGATTTTTTTTCTGGATTACTGGATTATACTAATATTTGTCTAGCTAGTGGAACCGCAATTTTATTTTCTTATATTCGTTAGTGCACTGACATTCGTTGTTAAATTTTTCTTCTCATTCACCTCTCGATAAAGTGATTATATGAAAGGATTATTGAAATTAATTTTTGACACATAGACCATGCTTATCACATAAGCACTGCCGATGTTTATTTCAATTATACTATTTAGTCATATTGTACCATAGGGTGAAATATTTACACCTGAAACAGTTTATCAAAAATGTCCTAAAACATTAAATATTAAATTTTCTCTAATTACAGCCATCTCACACAAACCGCTGGCTGGTTGCCGTCATGTGAAGATTGGAGCAAACACGAAGAATTGCCTTATGGCTGGGAGAGAGCAATTGATGCTAAAGGACGTTCTTATTTCATAAAGTATGTACTTTTATAATAACTGTATTTTTGTAAACCCATTCATATTCTAATTATAGCCACTTAAATAAAACCTCAACATATGAAGCGCCAGAAAGCGTACGATGGGATGAAAATCCCCCAGAACCACGGGAAGTAGTGCTGCAACGTAGCACTACGTTAGGTTTTGGTTTTGTGGCAGGCAGTGAGAGACCAGTTATAGTAAGATTTGTAACAGAAGGTGGACCAAGTATAGATAAAGTAAGTTCCTTGCTTTATAAAATTGGTAAAAATCAATTTAAATACTTTATATCTAATTACAGTTGCAACCCGGTGATCAAATTCTTGCCGTAAATGGTGAAGATGTCAAGGAAGCACCACGTGATCGTGTTATACAGTTAGTGCGTGCCTGTGAGTCACAAGTGAGTTTGCTAGTATGTCAACCAATGCATAAGGTAGCACCAGGACGTAAGTCAACCTTACTTTCTGCTGTGAAGCGCGCCAAATTACGAACAAGACCAAGTCGTGTGCGATTTGCTGAAAGTGTTTGCGTTAATGGAGCACCGCTATTTCCGGTAAGTAACGTGAGAAATTCAAATATGTGTGTAAATGACAAATAGTTAAATTCTGTCAAAAATATTGATAATTTAAAAATGAAAGCAATTTTATTGAAATATAAATAAAAACAATAGATTAAAATGAAAAAGTGACTAGTAGGTGTAAAACTTTTTTGACTATACTATATGTATATATATATATATATAACACATCACTCAAAAAGTCGTGTGACTAACTAAAAAAAACAAATTTTTTCTGCTAAAAATCGATTTTACTCATCAATATAATCTCCTTCTCGATGCCGTGCTTGTAAAAGGATTCGTCTTTTATCTTAAAATAGGCTTCAGTTTCGGCAATTACTTCTTCATTTGAGATGAATTTCTTACCGGCGAGCATTTTTTTGAGATCAGCGAATAGCCAGTAATCGCTGGGGGCCAGATCTGGACTATACGGTGGGTGAGGAAGCAATTCGAAGTTTAATTCTTGCAATTTTACCATCGATTTTTTTGACATGCGACATGGTGCATTGTCTTGGGGAAACAAAATTTTCGGTCGTTTTTTCACAATTTCTGCTTTCAAACTATCCAGTAATGCCGTGTAGTAGTTACTATTGATGGTTTTTCCCTTTTCGAGATAGTGAATGAAGATTATAGCATGTGCATCCCAAATTAATGAAACCATAACCTTCCCAGCTTACTGTTGTGCCTTTGGACTCTTCGGACGTGATTCACCGGCTGCAGTCCACTCAGATGATGATCGTTTTGATTCCGGAGTGAAGTGATGGATTCATGTTTCATCCATTGTCACATATCGATGGAAAAAATCTAATTTATTACGTGTAAACATGGCCAAACACTGCTCTGAATCATCAACACGTTGTTGTTTTTGATCGACTGTGAGTGATGATAAATTACGTGTGATAAATTAACACACGAAATTGTTTTGAATCCATTGTTTTAAATGGCTGTCATTTTTTTTCTGACTAATCGAAATGTCATGAAATTTTACACATAGTCTCTTGAAGGTTGGTACTTCATAAACGTCATATGGATTTAACAATGGCAGCGCCATCTGTGTTTCAGTCACATGACTTATTGAGTGATGTAAGATATACTTTTCAAATTACGCTCAATATTTTTTATCTAACCCAACATATAAATTTATTTAAATGCTTTGTTAAATTTTTCATAAACTATAAACTAAACAATATTTTTTGTAGCCTTCAGCATTTTCATTAGGTGATATTTGTGTACCACCAATGGCAAATGTGCTCAAAGTATTTCTTGAAAATGGTCAAACAAAATCGTTTAAGTATGACGCTACGACAACAGTTCAGGTAAACAATTTATTTATTTATTTAAATGATTCGTTTTTAATATAGAAAAGTAAAAATATAATTCACGTAGTTATATTTGTAAGACAACTTAACTTTTCTTTTCTTTGTAGGATGTAGTTTCTTCTTTGCTAGATAAACTGTGTTTATCTACCGGTGAGATATGTAGTCTTGTCTTAGAACACGTGAAAAGTCTGAAGAGAAACAAATTAACCTTACTTGATCCTGAAGAAACGTTGGCTCGGGTAAGCTCTATATTTTTTAACTTTATTAGTAAAGATATTCTCTAATATATCATTTTTTTTTTGTTCTACAGATAGCAGCACGTCCTGGCGCCCATAAACTGCGTTGCCTTTTCCGTGTTACTTTTGTGCCAATTTCAGCCGCCGATTTAGCTCAAAGAGATTTGAACGCATTGGATTATCTTTATATGCAGTGTTGTAATGATGTCACACAGGAGCGTTTTGCCCCAGAGCTACAACCGGAAGTAGCTCTGCGCTTAGCAGCGCTGCACATACATCAGCATGCTTTGGCCAATAATGTAGCACCGGCAAAGTTAACAGTCAAAGTTGTTGAGTAAGTTTGTTTATCTTTCTAACTAGAAAATGACAATTTGTATATTATGCGAATATTATAAATTTTTTCATTTTTAGGCGCGAATTTGGTTTAGAACGTTTTGTTCCAATATCACTTTTTGAGGGTATGAAACGTAAAGAATTGAGACGCTTAATATCACATTTTCTTAAATTAAATGCCGAAATGACGGGTTCATCTACCAAAGTTTTAACGCAACTACAAGTAAGAGAAAAAACATTTTGACCTATTATGATCTAAATTTTATTTATTTCTTTAGGCCAAATTACATTATTTGGATATTATTTCAAGTTTACCGAGTTACGGTGCCAAATGTTTTAGCACTAACCAAAGAGAAGGAGTGGAACGTGTACTGCTTGTAAGTCCACGTTTTGGACTAAGTCAAATTTCCAATGTGAGGAACTCTGTGGTAAGAGAAACGAATGTGGTCATATATAAATACAAAATTTTACTGATAGTTCCGATCAGGCCATGTAATTTATTTCATGCCTTGTATCATGAGAAGTAATAGATACAATTATTAATAATACTTTAAAGAATAAAAAAAACAAATCTTTTATATTTTAACACTAACAGACTAATAAGACTTAATTTTTGCTCTTAAATTAAAGGCTCTCTACTTAAATTATTTTAAAATTAATTATAAATTGTATGAATCAAACCTATTTATAGCCTCAACCCATATCAGCTATCGAAGATTTTAGTCATGTTATAGTCAATCGTGAAGACGATGTTACTTGCACCGTAGGCATATTTATGCAAGGCGATCGTGTAGTTAAGTATTCCATGGAAGATCGTGACGCTTGTGAGTTTTCCCTGGTGTTAGCAGGTTATTATCGGCTGCTGACGGGTATTAAAATAAATATTTCATATTCGACATTTCATTAATTATTTTAATTTTCAGGTAAAGACTTACTTGTAGATCGAGAACGAGAACCCTACGATGAAGATAATGCTCCCTCTTATTTAGCACAGCATACGGTTTTACCAGCGAATTGGAGTTACCTACAACCTTTTCATAATCGTGCACATAGCATCAATTTCCTTATGCCTCCACCTTATCATCATATAAAACTGAAACCAACAGCAGCTATTAACGAACAACATGATTTATCTTCTGCATTATGTGATCGAAATATGAATTCGGCGAATGTTATTAACAGCAACCATATGCACAACAAAGTGCCATTTATCAACAATACAGCGATGGATCTTGATATACATAGCGTTATGGCAACGGAATTGTTAGAAGAGGCTAAAGATTCCGGTCTGAGCGATAGCAGTGGTGGTGGTAGCAATTACTGTGAGCGTCAAACAAGTAGCAATAGCAGTGCATTTATTGAGGCTAGAAATGAGGAAGTTCTCCGTAGAGTACATGAAATGCAAAAAATGGTAGAGAACTCGGAACAGTATTTAACTGAACAAGGTGAATTTGTACAAGAGTATCAAGCAGGTCGTAAAGCTGCAGATACCAATTCATGGAAAAATGATACATCAATTGCAAATACTGCGGTTACTACAACAACAACTGGTGTATTTGAGTTCGATAGTGACTGTGACAGTCTCAATAGCAGTAAAGTATCATCAACTGAAGATACTCCACAACCAGGCGCACTTAAACACAGTGATTCTCTAGTGTTGCTAGCAGAAGCTATTAATCAGGATTTAAGTGGCATTACTAAAGGATTAAATTCAATTGGTGGTAGCCATCAAGAATTGCAAATATATCGACCAAGCATAAGTGCAGCATCCAGTCCACGTCCAGAACGCAAACTAAATGGATTTGGTCAGCTGCTCAGCAATTTACAGTCACTGAGCACTGATTTTTCGCAAAGTGAAAGTGATTCAGAGTCAGTGAATTCACCTACTAGTTCACCTATTTCACGCAGACCATCACTACTAAATACCAGTGAAACATCTAGTCGTAAACGTAATTTAGCCTACCGTACCAGTTTTGGCTTACATAGTCCTGATGGCAGCAATTTTGGACCAGAAACCAAAGACTATAATTTAAAAGAGTATTTAAAACAATTGAAAGAAATCAGTAATGTTGATCATATGAATCAAGATACTGATGAGGCAGCGAAGAAGCTTTCAGAAATTTATGGCTTTGAAATAAGAGGAGATACATTCATTGACATGGATTCAGATTTAATTGATTTACGTGCCATACCGCCACCGCAAACACCGGATGAACTTGATGCTTTATCCTTGTTGAATGCTGCACCACAAGGATTCGATGATAGTTCTTTGAAAAGAATAAATGATAATGACGTAGATGGGGACTTGGATAAGTTTCTTGCGAAAGTGGTAGTAGCTCCACCTACGCAAAAGGCAACACCTGCTAAAGAACTAACGCCTGAAGAAATAATGTCGTTTATAATACCACCGCCACCAAGCTTAGAAGATGTTGAAAAAACTAAAACAACTAAACCACAGGAAAACAATATTAACAGAAAACCTACATATCCAGAACCAACAGAAAGTTTGTATAGTAATTCAGTTAGTGAAAAAGCAGCATTCTTCAATCGGAAACTACAAGCAATAGAGTCAGCTACTGATGCGCACACTAATTCCAAACAGCACGCTGCAGTGGGACATGTCATCGAATACGCTACAGTGGAGCGAAAAAGTAAGTTTTCTTGTTGCCCTAAATTTAAAAAAGAGGATAACTCCGAAATAACGATAAATACAACTGACGAAATATCAGATCTGAAATTACCACCACGTTCTCAAGCAATAGATAGTTCACCTCCAGCGAGACCACCAAAGAGTGCAGAATTAATTCAGCGATTTTCACCTAAAAAGCAATTACCTGTTGCTGCTGTTACACAAACTGTTGAGAACAATAAGCAACGCGCAGGTCATCCATTCCAAGACGAACGACAACCACCCATGCTACCGCCACGTATAAGCCAAACAAACCGCAACGATGAACGCTGTATATCACCCACGGTGAGTGCCCCCAAAAAACCACCATTGCCACCAATTGCTAGCCGACCCCTTTTACGTGGTACTCCTGTATCAATACCCTATCCAACAAATGGCACGACACCACCGACAGTGCAACCTCGTTCATTCCTCGTCTCTAGTCCCAATGCAGCACAACAACATCAACAACAACAACCACTACCAATACCAAATTCTCCTCATTCCAATGGCCATAGTCGTACCAACAGTGATTGCTTTCAAAATTCACCCATAGACAAGCGACCACAAATGTTGCTTCTATGTTCACCACAAATGCAGCGCCGGATTCCAACAACTGTCAATACCACTAGTCCCACAATACAAGCAAACAACAGAACCTATCATTATGGTGATAAGCTTATAATTAAAAATGGGCACGTAATTGATGGTGAAGCATTGCTGGCCAAGACAGACGTTGCAATGGCAGGGCTACTAGTTAAACTGGATCAAGTTGCAGCACAGTGTACTGCAGCACAATCGGCCGGTGGTGGGGCTAGCATTGATGAGGATAAGTTTCAACGCGCACGCAACGAGCTTACGGAACAAACACTTGTGCTTGTTACCGCTTCTAAATTTCTCGTAGTCGCTATGTCTGATATGACACTTTCCACATTACCCGAACATCTGACATCGTGTTTGACAGCCATCAAAAGAATTACCGAGCTTGCACAAGACATGGCACGACACACCTCATCACCACTACAAACGCGCAATATTGTATTAAAAGTACATGATGTCGCTTCCAGTTTTCGCGAATTGGTAGGCGTGCAAATAGGACCATTAGGGGCAGGACAATTGGCGCTTCAAGCTGAATGCCTAGCCAATGTTTTGGCTACGCTGCTACGCAGTTTACGCGTATTCTCCCCATAATAACGCATCCAAATCATATCGAACCAAACAAACCATATCATAAGCCATTTTTGAACAAGTTGTGAAATTACTCGAAACTTAAGAAATTTAACTTTTTATCACATTTAGAATTTACTATCCAAACGTATATACTTATCTCTTATCCTAAACATATCGAATACATATATTTCTTATATTTAACCAACACACAGGTATATTAGTAATGAACTATTGGACTTTGTTTACAACTTTCTCTTTACAGGTAAAACAATTCTCTCATTAGGACTTAACTCATAAAATTAGTAAACAAATTTCTACCAAACAAACTACTAAAATCTCTAAAAAACACACTATAACTTTCGATTTATATTATATACATACATATATGTACACTATATACATAAGTGATTTTTTATTTACTAAGCTCAATATTTTTATTTTCCAAAGAGGAAATGTTTTATCAGATGTACCGAGTTTACATCACATGCCTAATGGTTAACATTTAAAATTACGTTCTTGAGTAGAATAATTAAGTTAATTTAAATTTAAGATATTTTCATGTGTAAATAATATTGACCAAACAATAATCAAAATTTTAACTTGTGATAATATTATAAGGGTATTCCGCAGAGGTGTAGAATTTTAAATGGTGCAAACAAAAAAGTAGGATGGTCAGATCAGTGTACCATAAGAGTAGATAGGAATTGTAATAGACTTTTTTTTAAAAAAACATAAATATGAAAATGTAAATTTATATGAAGGGATTTTAAAAACAAGAGAACGACTTAAAAACAAAGAGAAGAGATATTAACAACACGTAAACACATATAAAGAAAAAGATGAGATATTGCAAAAGGTAATAAGGTGAAAAAAGAAAAGAAAAAGAGGCTATGAGGAGGAAACTGCTATAAGGAAAAGCCATAAGGCCCATGTTATGTAGAGTATTACAGGGATGTCAAAATTGATTATTTCGGGCTATGACGAAAGTGCATGTTATACAGAATGTCAGAAATTGTAATTCACTTAAAATCTTGACATTTGTTACTAAACTGAATATTAGCTTGACTTAGTGACGAATCAGAGATAGCCTGAGCTCTCATGAAGAAATCTGAATCGACACTCAATTTTATAATTTGCATTAAAAACTACAACAATTTTGATTTTGACGAGCCCATAACATGGTCATAAGGTTCAATGTATCATTAAAACATCATCAAAAGAAATTGAAGCAAATTTACACATTTTAATTCAGACAAGTTAAATAGTTTGTTCTCTCTTTGTAAGCAAAAAAAAAAATTAAAAGCATAAACATAAAAAGGATAATAAAATATTAAAACTTCTATTAAAATCTACACATTTGAATGAAAAAACAAGATGAGGACGATAAGGGAGCAGAGATATAGATCAAAACTGAGAGTAATAAAAAAATGACAACTAGTAGTACTGAGAGAAACATCATTAAGAAAACGCTTTGAGTACACTGAGATCGACATCAAAAATAAATTCAATCACATCCATGATTGTTTTTGTGAGAGTACCGATTTGTGGTGATGAGAGTAATCTCATCAATTTATTGAATTCTTCCACCATTTAAATGAGTACACTACTGTTTGGGTAACCTTATTGTTTTTTATGTAATGTTATTATTGTAATTGGTAAAAAAAATTAATTTAACAACAATAGAAATTAATATAATAAAAACAATGTAAAATCTTTAATAATTTGTTATATATTTTATAATAAATTATTTCTTCTACGGGTACCAACAAGCCATACTGACTAGAAAAATCAAAAAATAAAAAATAAAAATAATATTATTATTTGTATTTAAAATAATAAAATTTTATTTTAATATATTAATAACTTTATATTTCATTTAATATAAATAAATATTTTTGTTTTTGTTAATAATTTAGTTTAAATTTTTTTAAGTTAAAATATGCTCAAAACTTAAGAGTTTTTAAAGAATATAATTGAGCTATGGCAGGGCTTGAATACAGACCCAGTGTAATATTATTTAATATATAAATATATACATATATATGTATTTGTAATGTATAGATATCTATATGTATATAAATTCATTTACATATATATGTATGTAATTTATGTATATCTACATTTATTTATACACATGTGAAAAATTATATAAATTAAAATATTTAAACATATATGTATTTATATACATATGTACGTATATTTATATTCAATTGTATTTGTATACATATACATATTTATTAATAAATAATTGTATTTTTAATTTTATTTAGACTAATCATATTTAATATATATAAAATATATAGTTATTTTTGTTTGTAAGCAATATATTTGTTATATCTATTGTAGAATTGAATTTAGTTATGTATATTATTAATTTTTAAAATTTAATATATACACTAAAAAAATATATATACATATTTATAAATCTACTTACATATATTAACGTTTAAAACTCGTATAATATTTAGAGTTACATATACGAGTATACGTAAATTATTAAATTTAAATATTAACTTGTATAATGTATTCAAATTTATGCATTAAAAGCGATAATAAAAAACTTAATTTAAACCCAATAAAAACATTATTTTTACTTACCTATATATTATATAGGTTAGCAATAATATGGTATATATGTTACGTTTAATATTTATACATATCATATGTATAAATAATTATTCCACAGCTCAATTAAAATATATATTACATACATCAGTGAATATACTATATAAAAAATACAGCGAAATTACTGATTAAAATAGAAATTGAAAAATATTATTACTTTTATGGACCTTTGGAATTCCGGTAAGCGAAGGTATAGTTGCGACCTATCTGAGGAACTCTCTGAAACATAATATTTTCGCATTCATAAAAAAAAACAACAACATCTTCTGTTTGCGTAGATTTTAATTGTTATTATAATTTAAAAAAGTTATATAAAACATAAATGAACAAAAAAATAAAACACGGACTTCTTAGAACAGCAAAAAAGACATGTAATACTCGTATATATTTTTCTGGCTACACAGACTTAGGCGGTATGGGCAAGGTAGTTAGAATTTTATATTTTGATGTATTTATTCAGGTGAGAACATGTGTCGATGTTATAAATATTTAAAGAGAGTATTCACTCTATCTTATCAGTCTTTTAATATTTCTTTGAGTTCAAACGTAGAATACTGTAGAATACTGGAAAAATTAATCATATGTTAAAGTAGATTGATATCTTTGCTATCTACAGTAGTCAAAGCCATTATTCTCATAAATTATCTCATCTTAAATGGTTTCAGAAAATGTCACACTGCTTTAGAATTAAACTGAGAATGCCCATGCTTTAAACTGTTTGGCACCCATTTCTCTTTCTTCCAAAGAGGAAAAAGTCAAGTCTTCCAAGATGCATTTATTTGTATACCAGATACTAAAAACGATTTCAGATTGATATCGCTTACACAATCGACGTCATGGGTCAATTCCTCAATATGTTATTGTGTACAATATATGTATAATATAATTTATTAATATCTTATACCTTATAAACATTATACTATTTTAAGTATAATGTTTTGAACAAATTGAATTTGTAGCCATATGTAACAATACTAATTGGTTGTAACAAATACTAGTCAGTTTTTAATTTAGTTTATTGTAATATTTATATATATCCGGACCTCACCTTAAGGTAATGATTATGACCCTAACTAAAAATTGTTAGTTAAACATTTTGTAAACTTATGTTATATATTTTGACTCAATGCAGATACATTCCAACTGCAATTTTTTTTTTCAACAATATTAAATTTTCAAAAAATATAGATATACTTTTTACAGAATTAATACATTCAGGAACGGTTTTGTTTACCTCTAGTAAATTGAGCACTTAACCGAATATTGCTGTGACTCATTTAATTTTTAATCGGAGAATACGTCAGAAAGTTGATTATCTATAGGTTTTGCTAAATAAAGTTCTTAATTATAAAATTTTAAATAATATAATATAATAATATTATAATTTTTGTATATATAAATTCATTATTCACAATAACTAAAATTTATTAAATAATAAAACACTTAATGGATATAAATTAAAGTACTTTTGGTGAATTATTTTTTTGTGCTTGGATAACGCACTAAATTTAATTCTTAATTCAAATGTTTAAATATAATTTTATAAATTTTATAAAATATTTGAGTCGAACTAATAAAACAAAACAAAATGATGTTAATAAAAGAACCGATAATCGTCGGTTAACTATCAAAAGTGAAAAATAAATGAATAACAATTAGAAAATAATACGTTTACACGAACGTTTAAATGGATTTTGTATGAAAGTTGACACATGTAGTTTCATATTTAGCGAATTATATACAATATTTTAAACATAGCATAGCATCATGTTTATATTGCAAACTTTTGCTATCGAACTTTGTTAAAGTTAGTTTGCAAAACGTTTACATTATCATTTCGGGTTTTCATTTTGTCAGTTGTTGTTTTTGTTATAGTTTTATTGGTTTACGTTTTTAATCTGTCTACTATATTGACCAAAATGTCATTTCAACGTTTTTATATCAAAAACCTTACGACAAGCTTTTAACTTCAGCGCTGTTTTCAAGGAAAGGTATTAAATGAAGCGAACTTTCAGTTAAACAGCAAATTTTGTTGTATGTATTTTTTTATGACAAAGTGAGTTTTGGTAACTGGTGTAGAGCCCAAAGTCGACTTTTACCAGCAAGGTTCATAATGTAAACCCCGTACAACTCAAAAGTCAAAATTGACTTTAACCACCAAAGCTTGTATTACGAATCTACAGTAGATACTAGACACTGCACTTTGAAAGTATTGTAAGTTGAAGTCTTTTATAAAATGCCTTATACTACATATACATTGTGAGATTAAGAGAACGAGATTATGTTAATCTGCATTTTTAACCTACACCGTTTACATTATACTTTGGGGATTAATTTTACAGTTTCTTTTGTTATGTTTAGTTTCGTGTGTTTGATAAAATTCTGTAAATAATGCATTTAATTACAATTTGCACCAAAAAATTGTAATATAAATTTAATAAATAGTTTTATAACAATAATTTAACAAATTTTGATTAAAGTTATATACAAAACTATTGTTAAAAATATTTATTAAAAATTTACTCACTTCAGATTTTTCAAATTTTCAATGTTTGTTTTTAATAGATTTTAAGATTTTTTTCTCCAATTCTTCTAAGATCGTAAAAACATGTACGATGTTAAGCCATTTATAGAGTTGTACAGTAAAATAATTACCATTTCTGAGGAGATAAAAAATTATTCTCCACCAAAAGATTTGTATAGAAAAACTGACATTAAAGAAGGAAATTAGTATTTTAATCTCAATTATTGCTTTTAATCTACTTTTAATGTCACAATGTAAATTTATTTCAAAAATCATATAAGAAAACTGAACCTAAGTGATTCCTATACGTTTTGTACACGAATTCTTAAAATATTTCGTTTAAAATTGATACTCTTTTTATTATTTTCTTAATTAATTTTAATTATTTTATTAAATAAGGCGGTGTGCGAATTCGAGTAAATTAATGGTAAATTGTGGGAAATAGTAAATTATATCGGTATGGAGGCGATTGTTGGTATTTACCAGAACTTCGAGTAGGGAAAATTAAGTGTTAAAAAAATTTAAAAAATTTATTAAAAAAATTAAATTATTAAAAATTTAAAAAACTTTTAACAGAAAAATAATAAGTACAATAAATAAATATAAATAAATCTTTCCAGAAGTTCAAAAAATCCCAAGAAAATTTCAATTTTACCTCAATTTACACGATCTTAATTCGAATTATTAATAATGACATGAATACGACTGAAAAAAAATTTTAAAACAAATAACTACTCAATGAATAGAATTTAATTTATATGTATACTATCCTATTATGTATAATATGTTATTCGTGTGAAGGTGACTAAAGTAATCGAATTATTTGCGACTCATCACTCGTTACTTTTTTTTTTGTAGTAGTCTGGCATTACTATCCCATAAGAAGACAAGCTGTTTGGAATTTATTTTAAAAATTTAGTATTTTTTAAGCAGTGCAGCAGAGTCGTTCGTAGCGCGAAAGTGAATGCAAGAAAAAAAGTAAAAACGGTTGTTGTATTAAATTTTTTTAATAATTTAACATATTTAAAAGAATATTATTTTAATTGTTTAACTTATAAAAAATTTTAAAGAAATAAAAACCCGTACAAATTGTCTTGCTTTTACCTAAAATTCTGTGCTTGAGATATTCTTGTGGTATTTTTGTTCATTTTGGAAATAGTGTTCATTTCACAATTCATTCTGTGTTCTACAAAAGCAACATTTTTTTGTTGTGTTTTCTATCAGAGAAGAACAAAGAAGTATAAATTTAACGCCGCCAAAAATAAAAAAGGTAATAAAAATAAAAGGCAAAAATCATAAACAGCAATAAGAAGCAAAGAAAAGTATTTAAAAATTGTCTTCCTGTTGTGCTGTTGCAGTATTGTTGCTGAGAAATAAAAATAAATTAAAAAAAAATACGAAAAAAAAATCCACAACAAAAATAAATTCAAGAATTCTGCATGAATTTTTTTGCAAGCAGAAAATTTTACAATAATAATAACAACAACAAGAAGAAGAGCATCAAGTAATCTCAAAAAAAGAAATAAAGGAAAATTGTGCAATTGTGATATCTAAGAAAATTTAAAAGAAAAAATAAGTCTAAATTGAAATTATTTTGTTGTTGTAAAGAAATACAATAAACAAAACAAATTTTTTTGCTTTGCTTTACAAAACGCCACATTGACAAATAAATAAATTTATTATCGAATTTGCTGAAGTCTTCCTTTGGATTGGTGATTTCCGTTTGGTTTATGTTGGGCAATGGATTTCAAATCTATTGTTTTTAATGCGGCTAGAGACAATGATTTGGCACAACTTAAGGTAAGAACAACAACAAAAGTAGCATGCAAAACAATAACAAAATTTTTTTGTACTTTTTGTGCAAATATGAAGGGTTAAGGGATTGTTGATTGTTTGCATGAAGCAGCTTAAGACGCTGCGCAGCTGTCATGTAAATGTGACGGCAGCAGAGCTGCAGCAGAAGTAGTTGTTGCGGCATTGTGGTGCAGCTATGGCGCAGTTACGGCTTTGAGCGCAACATACATATATTTAAGCATTTGGCATTTAATCAGCAGTGAACCTTGTGACCAAATCAATAAGAACAACAATAAAAAGCATCACTTTTGTTTTTGTTGTTTTTATTTTTCTTCTTATTGGAATAAAATCAGACAGTCGAGAATTGATTATTTCTTTGAATGCAGTGTCAGGTTTAGTTGGTTTACTTGTTTTGTTTATGTCTGGCACTGCTTCGCACGAAAGCTTCGTTCAAAAACATTAAATTGTTGAAATGATTTTTCTGACTCATAAGTGATTAAAATTTTAATGTTTAGTCTCAAATATTTTAAATAAGAATAATAAAAATTCAAGACAGAGAATGGCTTAAATAACTTATAACTTTTAAAAATATGAATAATTTTTTGTTCTAGTTATGTTGTTTCCTATTGTTGTTGTTCTTGTAATTCTCAAAAGAGTTGCCATCCGAATAATAATTTGTAAGAAAAAGTTGTATTGATCTTTGCAGCTCCCAGAATAAACACAATTTTAATATAAGTTCCTCCAGTATTTGTTTCGCTTCTATTGTGATGAATTAGATTCTTAAGGGTTGTTTATTTTATTTATATATCATTTATATAATGATTTATATCATTATATGAATTCTATACTTTTCTCTAAAGGTTACAAATGGCTTTTAAACTGATGAAACCAAAAAACCAGCATTGACCGTGGTTGTAACTTTTACATAGAATTAAAAACTTTATTATTTTATCAGCTATAAAATATAAACATGATTTATATGATGAGATCTAGAACATATGAAGGTTCGATATAAATATCTCTTTTTTCACTTATTTTCATTAAGGCCCATGTTATACCGACAGTCGCCATATGACGAATGGTCACGGCAATTTTACGCAGTTTTTGGTCATGACCAAAAGGCATGTAATACAGAGTGTCATATCATAACTGCCAATTTTCTTTCTTTATTGCTATTTTAGTAGGTTTTTTGTGACTAATTCAAAAGATATTTGCTCTTATAAGAATATACTTACATTTCCATACAGAAATAAACATAATTACTTCTAGTAGGCTCAATTAGTGATATTCATTACTAGCCAACATTGTTTTAACTAACGTGACGAGAAACAGAAAGTCAACGTCACCATATTTAAATCGGCTCTATTTTTTTTTGATTTGCTTTGGTGAAAAAACATTTTTGATTTGACGTGATTATGACTCTGTATAATATGGCCCTTAGCAAAATGGTAACTTAAGTTCTAAAGTGTTCTATATATAATATCAATATATTCTATATAGCACTGGCTTATTTAAGGAGGATTTGTATATCACTGTGTAAAAATTGAACATACGGGAAATATATCACATACTATATATGTCAATTGTACGTATATTACCTTTATTTTTGGAATAAAATTTACGTAGTTGAATACAACTATTTAATTCCAAACCAAACACCAAATGTCAAAAAGAAAATTATACAAGTTATATGATGATAAAAACAAAATTCTCTTCAACAACATACCATTAAGATATTTAGTGTTGTTAATATGTAAATCTTCTATTAACATTTCTACCTCATTTCGTATTATGGGTTAATTTTATATCTTTTCATTCCTCTAACTACTTTTTATGCCTACAAGGCATAGTTAAACAGTGATGACAAATTTTTCATAAACTGGGTTACATTAGTATTAATTAAACAAAAATCAATTCTAATTTTCTGTTCTCTTCATTTTTCTATAACTTTTATTTTAAATTAATTATAATTAATTATTCTAAAATATTGTAAAATGTCGTTCTACATCTTGGAAAGCAATTCAAGAAAGGTTTTCACGCGAACAGTTCAATTGTAGATAATATAATATATAATACTATTGATATGTAATACTATTGATAAAGCCACTCTTTCATATTGTTTATAGTGCTGATTCGAGTTACTAAACATAGTAACTCAAATGTTATCTTCAAAAATTTTTTGTATATGCTAAAGATTCTGAATGCAGAATGGAAAACCAAAGGGTAGAACATAATATATTCCATGGATCAAATTTTTCGTAAACATTGTTATTATTATAATTATGTAGTAAGTATATTATTATTCAAGCATTTAGAAAAATATAGAACATACGTCGTAAACATCGTTATTATTATAATTATATATAGGACAGGATTCAATAGTTCATCAATAGACGCAGTTTTACGAACTAGTAATGTTGAAGATCACCAATGCAACATCGTTATATAATGCTACGTAGTCGTGAGAAGAATCTACAACATTTTTAATATAAATTCGTTATTTTTAAAAAAAAATATTGATTTTATAGTTCTCGAAAGGATAAACGCAAACTGAGCCGATAACTTAACACCAAATTGAATTCCATTGCAAGAGCGACAGAAGAGTGCTTATTGTATAAATATTGTATAAATATTTATTTTCTTTTTAACGCAATCTCTGGAACATGTTTTTACAACACATATTTATTGGAAATATATAGCTTGTACTTCTATATGCTATAGAAATGCAATGTTTGAGGAACATAGAACAGCATCATATTATTAATTTTATAGTGAAAAACAACAAAACTAAGTTGTTGATTTAACATATGAAATGTTTTGTTACTATATGATAATCTGTATATACATTATATTCATATATATAATATATTACACTCATTTGACTTTGATTTTTTAATTACGAAAAATCTTAAATTAAATAACATTATAGGCATTACAGTACTAAGACTATTAGTTTGCAATAATTGTTGGATAGTTCTTATGAAGATCAGAACTCTATTTATAGAGGATTGTGGCTCAAATAAGTTGATCATTGTACAATATTAACAACTGCAATGGTTGATAGTAATATAATATTTTATTTATATTATTGGGTTATTTAATTCCTACAAGAATTTTGATCATCACTTAGAAGAAATGCTAACACTATACTGAAATAGGTTATAAGATAAGGTGAAATAAAATATCTGGAAATATAAATTTACATACATCCCTTAACATGATTTTATTTTTATTTCGTTTTATTATGTTATTAAATATTTTATTATAATGAATTATTGTATTGTAGCACTGAATTTAAATAGTATATTTCGAGCATACAAAAGCTGATGTCTTTTTTCTCCTAGAAAAAAACTGAAATATCTTGGATAAGATCCTCAGAAAACATCTTTAAATATTTGCAGCCAACGCGTTAGTGTTTAAGAATTAAATATATTCTCCGTCTTAACATTTTGTATGCAATAAAAATTTGTATAAATAAATAAAAGATTCACTTTTGTTTAGATAGAAATACTTTTGCGAGATAATATGTTTCACACTCTGTTTTTATCATCTTACTTTTTATTATTTAAAATGTTTTTTTTTCTGAATTTTGAAAACGAATTGCACCTGGCTAGGGGCGTAATTATAAATAATTCTAATAAGTCGTACAATAAATGACAACCCATTGACGTCAATTTTAGAGATAGATATTTATTATTGTACATCATTGTTTATATATACTTTTTTCAAATCATTTACTGAATGTATATGTTCATATAATTTAATAATAATTACAAATTATGTAGAAAATTAGTTTGAATTGTCAGTTAAAGATTTTAGTCTCATATAGTCATTATAATGAAAAATTGTTATAAAAGTATTGCTTAAGGATTTAAAACAGTATAAAACAGTTCTTGTATAATAAATGTTGTATAGGGTATTCTTTTAGCTGCATGATAAAATGATAACTAAGTGTCCTCATTTCGAAAGAAATAAGGATCGAAGATACTGCCAGCGTATAAACGGCACCAAACAGTCCATTTTAATGGATATAATGGTGATTCGTTAACGGCTTGAGAATTATCATTGCTCTACTCCATGAAATTTGCGAACTAAATTATTTTTTCAAAGTTAATTTCCACAATTTGGAACCGTTTTTCTAGCGTTAAACGATACATGGTGAATTGGTATCGTTTTTCTAGCGTTACATGGTGAATTGCCAAACCTTACTGTACCAAAATATCATCACAGTTTGACCATCGTATAACCATCGTTATCGATATCGATAGTTCTCATGCATCTAAAAAAACACCCTATGTAAAAGTGTATGAAGTTTAAGGATTTGAAACAGTTATTTTATAATTAATGTTTTATATATAAAACGAGTTATTTACATATATCATATATATATCAAAAAAAAAAAAAATCTGAACATAAACTGCACTTTTAACTAGTGTCTAGTCATGTTCTGCATAGTATGTAATTTACTAGAGTAAAAATTTGATTGTAATATGAAAATATGAATTATAGCACTTCTACAATATATTAGGTTACGTTACTACGGCAGTCAGTGTAATTGACCAGCTAATGTACACTCTATCATTCTAATGTGATAATACTTCTAAACTAAATAATAAATAAATAATATTAATAAGTAGTTATTCATATACAACTTTTATTTATGTTTAAAACAAACTTTGGAAATTTTCTTTTAACAAATCTTCATTCTAAGCGTAACTACATAATATTATATACTTAGCATCAACGAAGATAAATATTTATTTAATTGTTTTTGAGTTTATTTTATTCTTTCATGCTCCAGCGTACTCTCCTACGCTATATAAAAAATGATAATATTTTTACTACATATTTCACTATTCCATCAGTTTTATAAAAATTTCTTATCTTATCTGCGCATTTCCTTACATTAAAATAGTTATAAATATTGAAGATACTTCTTATCAATTTTCAATATAAACGTGCGTTCGAAATTCATATTTCACTTGAAGTTCTATAAATGAACGTTA